TATTTATTTGAGACAGAGAGAATGAGAGAGAGAGACATGAGAGGGGGGAGGGTCAGAGGGAGAAGCAGGCTCCCTGCCGGGCAGGGAGCCCGATGCGGGACTTGATCCAGGGACTCCAGGATCATGACCTGAGCCGAAGGCAGTCGCTTAACCAACTGAGCCACCCAGGCGCCCTACTCTCAAGCCTTCTTTGTGAAAATCTCCCCCTCTTTCCTTGAGCCCCTTGCTTAGAGTGTGCTATACCTAGGAAGGCTTTGTGTGTATGGGAATTCTTTGTGGAAATCAAACCAAGAGCTGATTTTCCTATCCATCTATGTGGCATTGGACATAATAGCTCCCAAGGAAGCAGGAGTCTGGAGCCAAAGGTGGCTGTGAGAATTAAAGGCCCCTGGGAGTTGGCAAAAATCTTGGAAATGGCTTTTGTTTCCCACAGGGTGTAGGATAAGGGGTCAAACTGTCTTCTGTAGGTCTCAGGTGTTGGGGAACTCAACTGACATCTGGATAACACATGATTAGAAGACTCTTCTAGGGCACCCACCAAGTAATTTTCCGGGCTGACCGAGTCACTGCCAGAAGTGTAAATAGGCCACAGAGAAACTTACCTTTTCTTTCTAGTTGCAGAGAAGAAAATGCAGCCACATTGTAGATATTAATAGTGAAGGCTCTGTGGAGGGCAAATCAATGAGAGATAATGGTGAGGCCCTCAGCTGTGGAATTCACAAGTCTAGCTCCCTTTCCTGCCTTCCCAGAGGATCCTGACCTTAGTGTTCTCTCCAGCACAATCAGCAGAGCATCACTGATCGGGTGCATATTGTCTTGACTAAGATCCTCCATGGTCTTGCTCCAGTCAAGCTCTTGTCCATTCCCCACACCCCAACTTCAGCACCCTGAACTCCCCACAAGGCTGGAATGCACCTCTGGTCATTGTTCAAGCCAGTCCTGCCTGGGATCTCCGTCCTGGTCCCATTTGCCCAGATACTCAACAGTAACCTCTGTGAAGTCATTTCTCCCTGTTGTCATTCCCAGACAGAGCTCCATTGGAGAGACATGCCCCTCAACTGCATGGCCTTGCTGTGAGCCAATCCCTCCATGGGAGGGCCAGCTCGTTGAGGGCAGGTTCTGTTGTCAGCAATGCCTGACACATAGTAGGTGCTTACTGTTCATCAAATGATCTGTACAGCTGGTGTGTTGTTGTTCCATCGGTGGTCCTGTTATTATCCCAGTCTCTCGTTCATACATTCAACAGTTAACTGATGAGCGTGCGCTACATGCCAGTCTCTGTGCTTGGTGCTTAGGGGATAGTGGTGAACAAGACGGGCATGGTTCTTACCTTTGTGGCACTTTACAGTCTCTTCGGAGAGACAGACTTGAAACGAAGCAATCAGTAAACAAGTTAAATAATTGATTGCAGTTGTGACATAGGTTGTGAAAAAGTGGAAGTTACGAGAGTGAAAATGGAGCTGGAGCTTGACCTAGGGGTTCAGGGAATGCTTTCTTGAGGAATTGGTATTCAAGCTCCACCATTATTTCTGTAGAGGCCTTGCCTCCCCAAAACTCATTGTGGAGCCCCGTGGGCAGGGGCCTCTCCACATCCCATTGTGTCCCACCCAGCTGCCCTCCGTACCCCCATCATATGTGCCGCTCCCCTCTCCTTCTCAGGCGTGGGGACCAAGGCCAAACAAGCAGAGAGGCCAGTGCAGGTTAGGAGGGGTCTGGAGACCACACTGTCAGTGGGAATGCGCTGTTTCTGTGGCAGGTTGTTACTGTTGGGCCTTTTATCTGGTGTTGCATGGAGTGTGGAGGCTTTACGAGGTGAGGTGAAAGCACAGTCTTTGCCCTGATTAGCTTTGGCTGGCTTCTAAGAGACTGCTATCATCGGGAGGCTGGAATGCAGCAGCTCCCTTGGATTTTCACTCTCGGAAATCACTGTGGGCAAAACCCCCTCTCCAGAGCCGGCCTTGTCCAACCAGGTGTGACAGGAGAAGACAGGATGGCTTGATAGCATCATCACCACCAGTGTCCACAGAGACTTGGTGGCTGTTCACCGCCAAGGGGACACCACCGGGGGCCATGGTCTGATGGTCAGACCTGCCCTTTCAGTACAAAGTGGCAGTCTGAAAGTGTGAGGGCTCTCAACGTGGGCTCCCAAAATAACCTGGATAACATCGCTAGCTGAGAGGAAGGTCTTCTCGTTACAGTGTAATGCAAGCCCCCAGGTGGCCTCACCTCACAATCTTGAGTGTGTCCATTTTGTGTGACATTAGGAAGCCAGTTTTATGACACAATCATCACACTTGGCATTTCCAAAATGAATGTGTGTTTTGAAAAATGATTCTCTGGAATTGGAAGCAAACAGCATGCTCAGTGACAAAGCCTCCAGAACCTTCTCCTAGGCCTGTCTGTGCACTTCCTTGTAAAATCCGGTTTTACTGATGATGTATGGTGACTGACATAACATGATAAAATAAAATTTAAAAAAAGTAAAATCCGGTTTTAGCAAGAACCCTGCTAAGTAAGTTGAGCAAGTACCTCCCACCCTTTACTCCTAATACCTAGTTCTCCCTCCTCTACCACCCCCGGGGAATATCTGATGGTCTTGGCCTGCCTTCTGCAAGAATCCTGTTAGGTCAGTTTAGCCAGATGCCCCTCACAGGCCTTATTGTTTCCTGTGAGTGACCCCCACCCTGCTTCTTGGCTATAAATTCCCACTTGCCCACGATGTATTCAGAATTGAGCCCGGTTCTATCCTGAGGTCTCTTTTCTCCTGTTGCAACAGTCCCGAATAAATTCTTTTCATTTGTTTGTTTGCTTCTTTGGCTTTAGCCACTGTCCAGCTGTAGTTTTCATAACACTAGAGCTTTCTGTCTCTGTTGAGCCTGCCTGGGGTGTGGGTGTGGGGGTGGGGAGTGTGTGCGCATGCGTGGGAACTCCTGTAGGTAAAAAGACAGAGAGTAGTGAGGCAGAAAGGAGTGCAGCTACTAAATTCTCCACATCATGTCTGGGGTGCATTTTGAGTTGTCCAAGGTCAGCGTGAAACTGCATAAACCCCGTCTACAGTTGTAAAAGCCCAAAGCAAATCACGCAGAGATAGGTTCTTACTGTAACACGATTGTAGCTATGTTTGTTGAGTTAGGAGATATCCAGTTTGCTATGAAGAGCTGGTCACTCAGGTTATCCAGGTGATATAAGGCACTGTTGTTGCAAAGCTGGTCTGCTTTTTCCCAGAGGCCTAGTGAGTTGTTGTTCGCGTCCACTGCTCGCAGGACCACAGAGCTGATACTGGCATTCACGGGAACCCATACTAGGAGGAAAGGGTAAGGACCCAATCAGCCATTGGTGCAGTCAGACAGGGGGTGGGGATCATGAAATCAACCTTTAGCAGGAAAAAAGGAAGTTACAAATAATGTACATATAGTATGATCCCATTTTAAATGAAGTTGCAGACAAAAGTTGGGAAGGAAATACAAGATATTAACTATGGTGATTTCTTGGTAGTGGGATTATCTTATTATTTTTATTTTCTTCCTCGTGCGTTTTCATGTTTTCCAAATTTTCTCCAGTAAAAGGTAAACAAAAGAAGACCTGTGCTCTGGCCCTGGTTTTCGCTGTAGAACAGAGGTGAGATCCCGGCTGGCTCTTAACCTCTAGAGCCAGGTTCCTGTCCGCCAGACGAAGGGGATAGCCTGTTCTGCCCTTCTCTCAGGGGAAGGCAGGGTGGGGAGAGGCGGGGTTGATACCTGGGAAAGGGTCAAGTGGGCCCCCTGGGCAGTGTGTCATGACATCAGGGATCCTTAGTGTCAAGTCAAAGCAGAGCCCATTTCTTGGTCCCAGAATCACTGACGCTTTCAGTCTCTGTTGTTGAGCGTGAGGGAAGGGGGTGGGGTCTCTGAGCCCCGGTACCTGTCCAATAACCCTAGGGTTTCTTGGCCTTCCCCAGTCAGGTGAGTCTTCCCTGTTGATGTAGCCTAGGGTATACTCACAGGGACCCCACTGACACTTGCTGATTCTAGCATTCTGATGTGTAACAGGGAGTGAACTTCAAGAGAACATTTCAGCCTGTCCATTTCCTTCCTTAGAAGATCCCTTCTGGAAGAATTTCTCAATGCTAAAGGGTTATTCTCCAGGGCCCTGTCAGCCACTCCAAATCCTTTCAAAGACTTCTCCGTACAAAGCAAAGAAAATCAAGCATGTAGCACAATAGGATCAGACAGTCCTAGAAAGGAATTCTAGCTCTCACATTTAGGAGCAAGTCATTTCGTCTCTCATCCTTGGTTTCCTTATTGTCCATCACTCACTCCACAAATATTTATTCAATGCCCACTCTACACCAGGTCTGGTCCTAGGTCTGCGGATGATGACTTTATCCCTCATGATATGGAGATCATGATACCTTATCTACAAGGTTCCTGGGAAAAGCACGGAGAAGAGTGTAAGACTTTTAACACATAATGGGTGTTGGATGAATTGTGATTGTTATTTATATTTTTTAGCGCAAAACATTTCTGTTCTGTTTGTTTTTGCCAATCAGGTGGGCTGAGCCAAACCCCACTGGCCTGACTTGCCCACTGAGAACCTGACAACTGTAGATGTGTGCACGATGGTGAGGTGGATGGTGCTCAGTGGTGGTGTCCTGGTGTCCAAGTCTGTCAGTTCTCCCATGGGCATGCTCTTGTCTCTGCCATTTCGTCTGCTCTCCCTCTCTCACACTGGCTTCCTCCTCCCTTCCCTCCTAGCATCTGTCACCTGGATTTGTGGTCTCCACCTTCTCTCTTCAGGCTGCAGCCAGATCAGATTCCACATACAACTCTTCCATAAGGACAAAGTACTCTCCAAAACCTTCCAAGTGCCCATCTTTCTAGAGGATCTAAACATTTCTGCTTTTACATTTTCACTTCTGTTGATTACAGTACCCAACACATGGCTTTTTTGACCCTCCTAACCTGGCTCACTGAGCTTTTTGCACTCCTGCTCTAGGGGCAGCCAGCCCTCCTCTGGTTCTGCAGATGCATCTGGCCCACACCTGCCCCTGGCCTTTGTTCATGTCTGGAACCCTGCCTTCTCATCACACATTCCATCCCTGCTTACTCTCCAGGATCCTGCCTGTGTTCCACCTCTGGGCCAGTTCAGCCCTCCTCTCACTCTTGAAACATTTACATTTGTTCCTGCAGAGTTGAGTACTTAATTACATTCTGGCTTGTTCTCTATACTGTGGTTTCATCCATGTCAGTATCTGGCCAGCCCAGTGCTGGGGACCTGGTGGGCACTAAATACTCATTGATTGATTTTAAAAAGTGCATCCAGTGCTGGACCACGCCCTTAAAGATGAAGGTTCAGGGGAGCCTGGGTGGCTCAGACGGTTAAGCGTCTGCTTTCGGCTCAGGTCATGATCCCAGGGTCCTGGGATCGAGCCCCACAGTGGGCTCCTGGCTCAGCGAGGAGCCTGCTTCTCCCTCTCCCTCTGCCTCTCTCCCTGCTCATGCTTTCTCTCTCTCTTTCTCTGTATCTCTGTGTCTCAAATGAATAAATAAAATCTTTAAAAAAAAAAAAAAGATGAAGGTTCAGGAAAAAAGGCAAGCACCTTTTATCCCTCTCGCCCACGGAGGCAGATCATACCCAGCACAATCTTAATATAAATGTCACTGCATCATGGGTTTCTTTCACTGATACCAAGACAGACCCAGGGAACCTCTTCTAAGATCCTGCCTGAGCTGTGTGTGTGCCATGGGACATGCCAAGCCATTTATACATGACTTACCAATGTTGACACAAACCCTGAAATTTAAAAAATTTCAAAATCAAAATAAGGAGAAGTGGTTGGCCTTTGTGGGTCTTTACCCAGTCTCCCCAAAAGACCCAGTGCAGACCTGTAATGACACTCTGACGAGGAAATCATGGAGCCTGTTGTGTAATGCTGGGTGCGGGGTCTGGCACTTCACATTTCCGTGAGCATAGGATTTTGACTCTCAACTTAAATCATTCGCTTAATGATTCGGTTTATCATGGAGCTTTAGCACATTTCTGCTCTGAGATGAAGTCAGGTGAAGTTTGAAGTGCCAGCACAAAGTAGGCATTCAGTGAACCGGAGTTTGTCTCCTCCTTCCCCTTTCTCTCTGCTCTACCCAGCACCTCTGCAAATGTTTGATTTCCCCCTCACCCAGCATATTCCCTTTCAAGGGGTCTTATGGATCCTCTCTTGACTGTTCGTTCTCCTGTCTTGCTACTTTCAGAAGAACCCCAGTCTACATATCTCCACCCAGCATTTTCGCGAGATAGGTTTCTTTTTCTTCCATTTCAACAGCAAAATCCCTTACCTTGTGATATGTTATCTTAAGTCCGAGGTCTGTGATCTTTTGTGTAGCAGTCCCTCTGACCCCCCAGGTCCTTCCCCGTGTGCAAGGTCACACATATGCCTTCCTGTCCTCATCTCGAATTATAAGATTAGCCTCCCTGGCTTGGGAGGACAAGATCCACTGCCTGAGGGAGTGGGATACAGTGATCTGAATCACAGCTGAGGCCCTTAGTGACAGTCCCCATGAAAAAAAGAGAAAAGGACAAGCTGGGACAAGTGTGTGAAGGCAGACCATCGTCGTTCTCCTGCCAAAGTCTGGAATCTGTGGTTCATGGGTGTGGACATCATCCTGGTGCTCTCTGCAGAATTGGTTAGAGTTCTAGGAGAGCAGAATGACATAGTAATGAGACAGCAGGCTCTGAAGCTGGACATCCTGGCTGAACAGAGCTGTACAAATCTTGGCTGTTACTTAGGTTCAAATATTAACAATGCTACCCACTATGGCCTTGGGTAAAATTTTAACTCCCCTATGCTGTGGTTCTCATCTGGGAAGATAATAGCATTTACCCTTAGAATAGCACCCAGCACGTAGTAAGAAGTCTCAGCTCTCATTACTGTAAGTGAGGGGTGTAGAGTGCAGTGGTTAAGGACTGGGTGTCTGAAGCTAGACTGCTCGGGTTCATATCCCAGCTCCATCCTGTAAGTAGCTGTGTGACCTGAGCAAGTGACTAGCACTCTACCTCTGTTTCCTCATCTGTGAAACGGGAATGATCATGGTATGTTATCTGCCTAACACGTTGTTGTGAGATCTAAATGCATGAATACACGTAAACCACCATATTAAATGTTGTTGTTACAAAAGTAATCAGAAAGCACCTGTCTTGACTTATAGGTTTGGCTGACCCAAAATGGGATGTTTATAAAATGTTCCTAGGTACCTCGAAGAAAAGCATTGTATTGGGAAGGAAAGACCAAGATTCAGGAGCCGGTTCTGCCCCTTACTAGCAGGGGAGCCCTGACCTGTCACCTAACTTCTCTCAGCTGCAGGCTGCTCATAAACAAGGTGGGAGAGTAACACTTTCCCTGCCTAGCTCACTAGAGTTTCCACCCACACCCTAAAGGCAAACAGTGCCTCCCGGTGTTGTGCAATATGCCATCATCCATGGTGACATTGTTTTATCAAATGGATGTGAACAGACCACACACTGTGATGCACTTATTATCCCTGAAAACAATAAAAATGCCCACTTTATTTAAGTCTGAGAACTAGCCGCAGGTGTGCCCTTGCCGGGGCTCAGTTAACCTGGGTGTCGGGACTTAATGACCCCTGGCTCAGGTTTGCACAGAGAGCAGGGAGGAAACAGTCCCACACAACAAACTCTCTCACACATGTTCTCTTTCTGTTTCTGCCCCCACTTCCCATCTGGGTCAAAAACACATGTTTTGTGTGATTGAGAGCAGGAGTGGAGGGGTGTGCTCTGAAATTCTGGTTAACTCCCCTCAGAAGACAAAGGACAACAAAGAGAATGGCTTCTCCTCACCTGTGTAGTTTGTGTTGCTTTCATAGACATCTGAATTGGCCATGATGCCTTGGCCAGTGGTGGTGACCTCATTGAAGAGCATGCAGTTGTCAATGTCATCTGCAGAGCTGGCAGAAGAACACAGCAGTCCGAAGCATAGAAACAGCCTGAGTGGCAGCAACATGGAACTGAGGACTGCCATGGTCTTGACCTGTTTGGAAACTGCCGGTCCCGGTACTGGGTAATACCTACAACTCAGCTGTTTATATGCTCCAGGGCTGGAGCTTCTGCATGAGGTCATACATGCAAATCTCCTTCCCACTCCTTCCTAAAATGAACTGGTGTCTGGAATTCGGCCCAGGATATCAGTAGGAGTGACTCGCCCAGTACTCATCAGCATGACCCTTTACCAAGTCCAGTTTTGCTCAAGGAGGGGAAGGTATTGATCATGGTTCTATTTTGTGTCTCATTCGTCTCAGCATCTGCTATTTGAAGAAAGCTGTTGAGAAAAGGGTTAGTGCTGGCAAAGTAAAATTCAGAGTTGAGTAATCATCACGTACCTGGCCCATTTAGAAGCTCCACACTTCTTCAGGCATAAAAGCTCTCTTTTCTTGGAATATTACATATCCTTTTCTAGCTCTCCTTTATTGAACTTGTCTCCAATCCCAGTTCCTTTTGTGACTAGCATAAAACTAGGAAGACTGTGCTTTTGGATTTATGTTTATTTTCTGGAAAGAAATAGCTTTGGTCCACCTTGCTCCTGACACATTCCTCCATAGCACTATAGCACAAGGAAACTACTAAAAAATCAGAAAATATGTTTTCTTTTATCTCTCCTCTGATTTTTATGATTTACTTACGAAGGAGTACTATGTGAGTAGAAAGGAAACCAAAAAAAAAAAAGTAGAATCGAATCAAGGTGATATTTATAAATGTTTCTTTAAGAGAAGTACTCACAGACTGGTAAAGCAAGGACCTCTGAGAAATCTCCTCCAGAAAAGCAGTGAGAACACTAGCAAAAACTGTCAAAATCAACTTTTTTGGAACTCTTGAAATTAACCAAAGGCTTGCAAAAATCTGAGGAGCATTTGTTTAAGAAAAATGGCTGGATCTCATTGAGCACAAAGAGCACTGTGGCATTTTAACTTGGCTTATTTACACCCCTCTCACCACACCTTTGTACTAGCCTTAGAAACCAACAGCCTTGGGCAACCCCTTCGGGTCCTCTTCGGGAGCTTTGTACTATCACTCAGTAAACTTTGGGAAAAAAAAAAAAAAAAGAAACCAACAGACTTGCCACTATGGGAGCCCTGCAGACTGGCAAACAAATAGCCAATGGAAGGAGACATAGTGGGCTTGGAGCTCTCCAAAAAGCCTCATTTCAGACAGTTGTCACTATGTGACTTGTCTGGAAATTGCCTGTAAATCTGAATTCTTAGGTTTTATTACTTGACCACCAAGTGAACTGAGCAGAAACTTCAGTGGCCACACATGATAAAGAAAATAGACTTCAGGGCGCCTGGGTGGCTCAGTTGGTTAAGCGACTGCCTTCGGCTCAGGTCATGATCCTGGAGTACCGGGATCGAGTCCCACATCGGGCTCCCTGCTCAGCGGGGGGTCTGCTTCTCCCTCTTCCCTCTCGTGCTGTCTCTCATTCTCTCTCTCAAATAAATAAATAAAGTCTTAAAAAAAAAAAAAGAAAATAGACTTCACAGAATTAATTTATAAAAGTCACTAAACAGACAACATTAGCAGCAACAACAAACAATAATAACCAATGGAAAATACAACAAACCCTGGGAGGGAGGGGTATTGCATATCCAGAATGACCACATTATATTTTTTAAATGTCCAGTTTTCAACAAAAAATTACAAGAATGCAGAGGAACAAGAAAGTATGGTCAGTACACAGGAAAACACCTCCCAAGCAATAGAAACTGTCCTTGAGGAGGCCTAGATATTAGACTTAGCAGACAGAGATGTTATCTCAAGTATTATAAATATAGTTAAAGAAGTAAAAGAAACCATGTCTAAAGAGTGAAAGGGAAGTGTGAGAATAATGTCTCACTCAATAAAAAATATTAATAAGGAGATAAAAATGATTAAAAAAACAAATAGAAATTCTGCTGTGGAAAAGTACGATGACTGAAAGGAAAATTTCAGTAGAAGGGCTTAACAACAGATTTTAACTAGCAAGAGAAAGTGTCAGTAAACTTGAAGATATTCAATAAAAATAATCAAATAAATTCAATAAAAGAAATGTAAGACATATATCTAACGGGACCCAGAGTAGCCAAAATGGTCTTGAAAAAACAACAATAACAACAAAGTTGGAAGACTTACGCTGACTACAATTTCAGAACTTACTACTAAGCTATAGTAATCAAGATAGCGCTATACTAGCATAAGGATAGACATATATAGATCAATGGAATAGAGTTGAGAGTCCATAAATAAACCCATACGTTTATAATCAACTGATTTTTTACAGGGGTGCCAAGACAGTTTGATGGGGGAAAGAATAGTTTTTCAACAAATGGTGCTGGAATGCCGTATATCCACATGCAGAAGAATGAAATTGAACCCCTAACTCATACCATCTAGAAAATTAACTCAAGGTGGGTGCATTCAAATCAAGAAAGTAAAAAGACTACCTAAATAGTGGGAGAAAATATTTTCAAATTGCCTATCTGATAAGGGCCTAGTACCCAGAATATATAAAGAACACAACTCAACAATAAAAAGACAAGTATCCTAATTTAAAAATGGGCAATGAGTACTTTCTCCAAAGAAGATGTACAAAGGCCAAAGAGCACATGAAAAGATGCTCATTATTAGTTATTAGGAAAATGCAAATAAAACCACAAAGAGATACCACTTCACAGCCAGTAGGATGGCTAAATGACAGATAACAAGTGTTGACAAGGATATGGAAAAATTGTAACCCTCATGTATTGCTAGTGGAAAGGTAATCAATTTGGAAAACAGTTTGGCAATTCTTCAAAAAATTGAACACAGAGTTACTATTATATGACCCAGCCACTCCATTCCTAGGTATATACTCAAGAAAATTGAAAACATTTGTCCACACAAAAACTTGTGCATGAATGTTTATAGGAGCATTATTCCTAAAGCTAAAAGTTGGAAACAACCCAAGTGACCATTAACTCTTGAATGGATACCAAAATATGGTATATCCAACAATGGAATTCTATTCAGCTATAAAAAGGAATGAAGTACTGATAGATGCTACAACATGGATGAGCCTTGAAAACATTATGCTAAGTGAAAGAAGCCAGACACAAAGACCACATAATGTATGAAAGCATTTATATGAAATGTCCAGAAGATGCAAACTAATAGAGATCAAATATTTTCCGGGTATGGGAGGCGGCAGGGGAAGGGTGCAGGTGTTGGGGGGAGACAGGGGAATGAGAAGTGACTGCTTACTGGTTTGGGGTTTCTTTTTGGAGTGATGGAAGTGCTGTGGAATTAGATGGTTGTGACAGTTTCATAATTGTGTGAATATACTAAAAGCCACCAAATTGAATTTTATCGTATGGGAATACATCTCAGTAAAAATGTTTATTTATATATTATTATGTGTAAACAAGTTGGGAGTAGTAGAAAGAATGCAGCAAAACTTTAGTATTAGATCCTGTTTAGAAACCTGGCTTTGGGAGAGTTTTAACCTATCTGAACTTTAGTTTCCACTTCTGAAAATTGGGGCATTAATACCAATCTTACATATTTTTATGTATGTTAAATGAGAAATATATGTTAACTGTTTTGGGGGATGAGCTGGGTCTGGCACACAGTAGGTATATAATACATACTGATTTGTTCCCTCCCTTCCAACTTCCTTCCTTCCTTCTTTCATACCAGGTTAAGGCAGTGGGTCAGAAGAAAAGAAAATATATAGGAGTTCTGCTGTTGATATGGAGACAGTAGTATAAACCTCCCTGTGAATTGTGGGCAGAAGATTGGAGCAGAGGGGAAAGCTGATAAGCAGAATTGTTCCATTCATTTACTGGATGAAAATGGAGCTCCGCCCTGGAGAGGGCCAGTATGAAGTCATCAGCACTGCTCCTGGGAGGAGGGAGCTGTCTGTTGGCTGTGGGTACAGCTATTGACAAAACAAAGTTGATCTTTGATTCCTTCCAGAAAGGACTTGAGTTTTCTTGAGAATAGGAGACCACAAGAAAACTAGTTAGGGAAAAAAAAAAAAAAGTGTATTTGGACTTCCCACTATTCCTCCACCCCATTTCTCTGTAATTTTGGACTCTAGTTTCTGGAAATGCACGGTTTTTTAAAACTCCATAGGTGATTCTAGAACAGTGCTTTTAAATCTTGAATGTGCATTCAAATCACATGGAGCATCTTGCTAACATGCAGTTTCTGATTCAGTAGGACTGGTGTGGGGCCTGAGACTCCTCATTTATAACAGGCTCCCAGAGGATGCTAAGATGTTGTTGATCCCTGGAGCTCACCTTGCATAGCAAAGGTTTAGAAGCTGATCTGAGTAAACCAGGTTGGGACTGAATGTCAGACTAGTTATTAAAGTCAGAAAAGCTGGGGTCTGTGACTGTACTGGGTACCCCAAAGTTTCCAGTTGGCCTGGAGCTTATATGCTGAGACTTCATGCTGCAGAAAGTGGTTGGCACTTCCATACCTCCTTGTCTCTCTAGGAAGGAGAGCTTTCAGACAGCAGAGAGCAGCTGGTCTCAGAGTCCAAAGAGAGGTTCCCTGAAATTCCCCAGGAGCAACCACTGGTGAATGCAAGGATCATGACCCTGAGGCACCTTGGATGGTTTTTGATCTAGTCTTCAGAGGTGTGGGGGGTGCAGCATTGCCACCAAGTGGAACAGAGCACAGGCTTGAGAGTCACAGAGGCCCCAGGTTGAATCCTGCCCCTCACGTTGTGACGTTGGACTGTACTTAACCTGTTCTGAACCTCAATTTTTTAAATCATATTATGGAGTTAATAATACAAACCTTGCAGGATTGTGTCAAGGTTGGAGAGAGAACGCGGGTAACATGGCTGCCATTGTCTGCCTTCGGTAAAAGGTGGTTCTTCGCCACCCATGGCAGGGCTGGGCGCAAATCTCAGAGGAAGGGCCACCAGGGAGCGGGAGGGGCCTGGAGAATATTTACAGCACTCTCTTTTGTTTGTCCACAATGGATGCTTACGTCCACACGTTGACTTAGGGACTAATTGGGTTGTACCCTTTGGCTTTTTGGATCAGGGGAGTGGGTGTT